CAGATGTAAGGGGGCAAATCTTATTTTCACAGTTACCTATTGCCACTAAGGAGTGGGAAGCAATTATCCACCCAGGAAAATGATTCTTAGCGCATTAAGCTATCCAAAAAGCACATAAAGATTAACCAGAATTTAAGGGTATTAGGAGGGGGATAACAGACTCTCTGAAGAAATTCAAACCGGAACCAGTTTTCTTCTTTACATCTTTGTGTCTCTAATTGCTGTAAAGGTTACTGCTTTGAGGGTTACAGGCTTAATACAGCTATACAATCTGTCCCTCTTTTCCTGGGGATCTCTTCCCAGATCTCTGGTTGAACTGAGCTCATGGCCTGCAGGTAGCACAACAGGTTACAGATCCCCCTCACATGCACTTGGAGCTTCATCTTGCCAGCTGGCTGATATTCTCCCACTCCTCTCCATACTTGCCCTCTTTACGCAGCATTTTTCTATCTCCCGTTTCCAGCTATTTCTGCATGCATGCGTGCCTTTTATCCACACAGCTAAAGGCTCCCTGCTATCTTTCACTCAATCCTATCCGCCCTCTGAAGCCCTTTTACTCTCTTAATCCCAAAGCAACTTTGTCTTTCTCAGTGCAATAATCTCATTTAGTCAAAAACGCCAAAGACAGAGAAATAAAAGTCATTCTGCTCCAAACCATAAATACATGACACTACAGAAGATTTCAGAAGCAACATCTTGCAAGGCACTCTGCAGTATACTTTTCGAAGTACAGCTCTGCTTTACTTCACACCGTGCAGCCCAAGCTGGAGCAGCTGGCTGAAAGTTTGTAATGTTGAAGGCTGGAGGAACATGTGTGCCATGCAGGAGCTTAGCAGCTATAGACTTTGAATTACTCAGCCTGTGTGTTTGAGCATATACGGAACTTATCAAACTGCAAGCTAACACACTAAAAAAGCAGTTGACAGCTTCTAGGGTGATGCACTAGATTTTGGGCATGTCAGACTTCCCAGCTGCTCCTTACAGAGGTTTATAAGAGAAATCAAAGCATGTATCATGCAACTCTTCAGTACACAACGTCTCTGTTCTGACACACCGCTGTTGTTGTGGGCGAAAGATCCAAACAAAATGATGGTGCTGTTTCTCAGCAGCTGTATCATTTTGTTGTTTTGGAATTTTTGGGTGCTTCAGCAGAAGACTGAGAAATAGTCCTCTGTGTGTCAGTACAAACATTTTTATTTCTCAGTTAAAAAAATGAAAATTTCCTCTTGTGGCTATAGCAAACAAAAAAATTAAGTAAATAAAAAAGCACAACCAGCACTGTACTTTAGAGAATTACCTGGATGATCCACTATTTCAAATGAAATCACAGATTCTAATTGTCAACTGCAATTCTGCTCAGGTAATGAGATGTGATTTACAGATAGTCAGAACTACAAAACTGGAAATTCACTGAATAATTTGCTTCACCTGTATCCTTTACACAAGAAAAAGAAACTCCTAAGTCAGTATATCAAGTATATATCTAAGTCAGTGATCCAAAGTAATTAACATTATTAATAACAAATGCATATTTATCTCAACTTCCAACGAAGTGGGCAATGTATATGAACTTGCACAGATCAAGTGATCAAACAATTTGGAGATAACTGTGTTTGCAGGTATTCTCTATTCTTCAAACTTCTGAGCAACTCCTTCCCATGTTCCTTCCCCATCTCTCCTTTTCTCTTGATTAGGATAATAAATGTGGCATCCTGTAGCCTGATTCCTTTCCACTTTACCAATGTAATTGTCATCTGGCAGTATTAATCTGCCCACCCAGCAGAATTGGTTTTAGGATCAGAACCCAACTCATGTAGATACAAATAAGTCACTCAGTCTAAGGTTAAAGCTATTTCTAACACAAACCTATGTCCCTTTGTATTTACCTTAATTTTCACCAGTGCCAACAAAATACAAATGACAATTCAAAGCTATTCACTTCAATGCAGAAAAAACACTGTCTTGTGGGATGAAAAGTTTACTGAAGGTCAGTAATACTTGAGTTTGATGTTTTACATCAGTGAGGGAGAGCAAAAAGGTTCCTACCAACTGTGCAAAAAACTTCCTCCTGAATGTGTATGAATTGGGTATGATAATATCCATTATGGAAGAGGCAAAAAAAATCACAGTGGAAAGACCTACATAGGACAAAGAAGATTCTAAAAACACAGTTCAAGATCTCAGAATGAGGTAAGTATAAAAAAGGATTGAAATCATTTTTTATATCACTGTAATCTTTTAAACAAATCTTTTAAAGAAATTACATGGTCTTATCCAAATACCTAGCAAGTATCACCCAAAAGGTTCTCTCTTTCACTCCTTCACATAGCAATCATATCAATAAATGGCATCTTTTCAATTAATTAGGATTTTTCTTACACTTACGAAACTCATTAGATTTACAGTCATTCATTGAAACTATTCCGTAGAGATGAATATTCTATTACATACACCAAATAATGATTCAATACTGCCAGTCACTTTGTTGTTTTATGGGCATAATAAAATCAGCAGAGACAACACATGTGAAAGAAGTCTTTCTATTTTCATTTTGTATGCTTATTTACTTAACCAACCTCATTCAGACTTCAGTGTGGATTTCCCAGGAGTTTCATCCTGAGATGAAACTTTCCACTCAGACATGTTTGCTTTTAGTCTGGAAAACTTCAAAGAGATTTTTAGTGATACAGCAAAATGACTTTGGCCTGAACTCTGGATTCATCCCTTCTGATTCATCAAAACAGACTTACATAAGTTCATGGCAAAAAAGATTATTCATCAAACTACAGAAGTTAGGCCTTGTTTACAAATATCAGGTCATGAGAGTTCTAGGCAATAATTCTTTACATTTAATTTCCTGGTGTTTTGTTTCAGCTCACCTACAATATGCTTTACAAAGCAGTAGAAGAACTTTCAATCTCAACATTATTCTTTGTATTTACACATGTATATAATTCTGAAAATTATCATCCAGATAAAATGAGATGAGGCATCAAACAATTACAGGACTAAAAGAAACACACCTATTCCTCCCCATCATATATCACCAACTGCTATCCTCTTACATAGTGCCCAGACAATTTTCCACACAAGATTAGAGGTTTCTTAAAAGAGAAAGTGATCACTTTAGCATTCATGGGTTGTTCAGAATTCTGTCTAAACATATTGAAAAATACCACTGAAAAAATGCCCCCTTCATAATCTCTGTGGCTGCATACAAAAGTTTTGCTCATCTTCTGAAGTAATCTAAACATTGATGAACGTGGGAGCAGTACTTGCATGACAAGCTTTTATTCATGACAGGTTATATGTATCAAATGCTATTCTGTAAATTATTTTTCTGTGGAAGCTCTAATATCAAGTTTTTTAGACATCCCAATTGTTTTATTTTCAGCTACTAAAAATGGTTTAGGGAGACAAACATTCGTATGCTATGTAAGTTCAAAGGCAAAGCATAAATACATGATAAGATTTTTCCCTCTTCTTTCCCACCTATTTTGTTTTCTCCCTGATACCAGGAGACAAAGTGACATGTATAAATGCATTACTTGTGGTATTTTTAGGATTTTTTTGTTGTTGTTATAATGGAACAGCTTCAAATAATTTCTGTTTTGTTTATTTTCTTTCCCTTGCATTTCATTTCTTTTTGCTGGATGAGGAAGTTATCAAAAATAATGAGAGTAAGCAGGAAGAAAATGCAAGGTGAAAAGAATGATAGTCACAGTGATGCTCTGGCAACATCTAGAGAGGTTTGCCCATAACTGAGAAAGACCTCAGATCCTCTTTCAGGCTGTACCAGCTTTTTCTCCCTTAGTTTGGGACAAATATTTTCACTTCTCTAATTCTGTCTTCCTATTACAAGGGGTCAGAATTACAGCATCTAACACTTCTTAGTACTATCACATAAATAGAAAAAATATTATATTCACAAAATACTCAGAAATAAGAAAGCAAAGACTTTAGCCAGCTAATTCCCACTACATAAGAGAATATGTCAGTGTGGGTGATGTATTCATTACTTAGCAGAAGCGAGCAATGTTTATTCCACAAGCCTCTCTAAATTCAGCAGATCAATAATTGTGACTTTAGTATTTCTCCTTATACACCAGACCAAATCCATCAATAATGATGACTATGTCTCTTTCAGAGATTTAGTATTATAACAGAAATAAAATCCATGTGTTTGAAGACTGTCTCCAGCTTGAAAATTACTGTCTAAGGGATTTTTGTTGTTTGTTTTTTATCGAACAGGAGGCCACCAAGCTAAGGTCCTGCACTTGGCAATTTAAACTGCCCTCTAATACAAAAATTTACTCTATGACATGTTTTAGGAGTGCATTTCTTTTCCTATGAAACCCTCTATTTCACTGTCAAAGAATGTAAAGTGAACATATATATCTATGTAAAAGACTCAAAAGCATAATGTAACACGTACCACACTGATCTGAGGGAGGCTTTTAGTCAGTTATAGTCTAAGGATTTTAAGACAAGTTATAGTCAGTCTTTCTCTCTTCTTGCCGTAAGGAAGATCTCAAAGAACTTGTCAATGAAAATAATCACATTAATTCCTCTACCTACAAGACAGGTATAGAAGAGCTAACTTTGTCATGCTGAAAGATAACTTGTAAAAGTAAAGGTAAAAAAAAAAAGGTAAAAAAAAGGCAAAAAAAAAATCGTCAGGAATTTCACATAGGCAAAAAAATAAAAGAAAATAAATAAATGTAGAAACGCTTTTTAACATTGAGGCCAACATTATTTTGTGATGCATACGGAAACTCTTTCTGAAAATAGATGCAAGTGTCCTAGGCAGTGAGGTGAGTTAAAACAGAGTGGAAGAGAATTCCTGTCTAAACACACTGAGAAATATTTTACCCATTTGTTTACAATGTGTTTCTTTCCATAAAGACTGTAAGAGAAGGTCAGTAAAATTCTCAGAGTGATTAAAACTGAATTAACATTGCATACTCAGAAAAAGGAAAGAATAAAGCTTGGTTCCCTACCATCTCCAACAAATTGAAGAAGGGCTAGATCAATTTGTCTCTTCCAAGGTGATCCTTTCTGAAGTGCTATTCCATAGCCCGTAGTGGCAAAGATGTACCCACTGCCTATTGTGACAAGTTTGCAGCCTTCATCTCTTCCAGCCTTGTAATTCAGCACTGCTGCATCATAGATGAAAGCATCCAACTTCCTGAAATAAAAGAAAACATTTTACAAACCAAATCATTAGGGACAGCTGTTGTCAGACTTCTTTTGTCCTTGATGTTAGGACCCTGTTGATTATCATATGGGTTCTTTGATATCATTAATTACATATCCTGCCCTTCTGTATCTAAAATTAACAAAAGGCATCTATTTTAGTGAGGGGAAAGTAGGACACATAGTTTTGCATTTCTATTTTAAGGGATGCGGTTAAAAAATACTGAGAGCAGGAGAAAGCAAGCTACAGAATGTCTTGCCCTGTTATCTTTGTATCTTTGCATCCCACCCAACATGGATAATAAAGATACTTAGATGCAAAATGATCTCCAAATACAACAGAAGTGATGACAGAGAATTTAGAATGAAACTTACAAGAACGATTTATTTATTATATAACGAATAAGACTGAAATTGTGGCTTAACCAGTTGTCCCTACACACTCTTCATTTTTCTTTCAAAAAATAAATGACGAGGTGGAAATGAAGTCCTTGCTAAAACAGAGGAAGGTATCGAAGCATATCTGATAGAGCTATTAAATTATACTGTAAAATTATCAGAAATATTTATTTATCTTTTGAAGTTCCAAATATACTATTTGTGTACCTGAAACACAGCAGGAATAAAAGAACGTGTGGAAAAATCCAGATCTTTCAGCTTATCTACCTACCATGTAAGAATGGAACAATCTGATTCTTTAAGATATACAGCTAACACAGCAAAACAGAGGGAAACAGAAAATCGATAAGGAAAGAAAAAGAGAAGGCATCTTTCAGGGAAAATTTTTAAGAAGCACTACCAAGCAAGAGTTAGGTAAAACTGGGCATGGCTATTTCACAGATGAAGCCAATAAAAGTGTGCATATATGCAGAGGAAGCCATTTTGAAAGGCAGTCACTTGCCAGCAGAAAACTCAATCAAAGGCCTACAGAAATATTTAAAAGAAAAAAGAGGAAACTTAAGCATGTTTTGTATTACTGCCCTAAATCCATAACCAAAATATTTAAGATGTGTAACACACACACACAAAAAAAACCCTAGCAGAATACAGAAGCGACAAGAAAAAAAAAATAGCGTGATTGCTCAAAACCCACCTAAATTATGCACTAAATAAGTTATTAGTTCTTTTAAACATCCCTTAGGAGTCAGGGGAGGGGGGAGGACATCGCACACAGCCGGCTGCACAGCTGTGGGAGGAAGGCTCACCACCCATCTGCCCTCCTGGCACCACAGCTCCAGGCGCTGCCCGCTGTGCTCTGCCTCCAAAGGGCTGCAATACATTGCTATGGCGCGCTGCTGAAATGTTCTGAAGGGATGCAAATGACAGAGGCTGGCAGAATGCTGTTTATAAACAGTTGGGACCTGTCTTCGTGGAAAGGGAATTGTAAAAATAAATTCACTGTGGCACAAACACACACAAGGGCATCAACTGCAGTTATGTTATATCCATACGCAGTCTGTACCAGTTGTGAATTCCGCGGCTCTTCAGGTTTTGAAGTCACACTTGTCGCTTATCTTCAGCTGTTTTTCATTGATAAAGCTTTTCATTTACATTCCCAGATCAGAGCAAGATGGAGGCATATCAGATTTTGGCTACTGACAGAGAAGAAACACTTCTATACATCACACAATTCAATGTTTGTTCTTAAATATTTAATCAACAGAGCGATGCAGTAGCCTAACTTTTGCAGATCAGATAGCAGAACTTTGACACTAGAGAAAAAAAAAACATATCTGTCTCCTGTGATATCAGAGAAGAATGAGGTTTCTGGGAGCGATGAAAAAGTGAAGAGCAAAGTTTCTCTCACTTCTTTCTGCACTTTATTTCTCCCCTGCGAGGATATCCACTCAACAGTCACCATCCAAGTCATCAAATCAAATTTAGCGAAGGCAGTTAATTTGGAGAAACAACAGGTGGCTCATGCCACCACTAGAAGAAATAGCTGGGCCATCATTTCCTTTGTTTTTCCATTCTTTTCTAAAACTGAGTTGACTTAATCCTCAGCACAAGCCCGTTAGTGTTAAAAATCTGACTGCTCCTTCTTTAAAATGGGTAACTTGATATGGAGAAAACAATTCTTAAGCATCTGGAAGATGGTGTGTCACAATCTCAGCCTGTAAATGAGATACAGCAGCCTAGTGGCATAGGCAACAGAAGTGGGATGGCTAGGGAGGAGGTGCTGGGGCAGACCCCCATGGCATCCGTTGCAGTGGATGCACAGTGAGGAAGGAGGGAGGCTCTGAATGCAATGCTTTACCTTGGGGAACTTTCTCTCTGTTATGTCTAGAAGATCACAAAAAATACCATTATGTAAACCGATTTAAAAACATGAGGTACTTTTCTGACAGAGGCTGAGGGCTGAAGGCTTCTGCATTGCTGTCCAATGCCTGAGCTGTAAATCAAAAAATTGATTGCCCTGAAAAAGTCTTGCTTTCTACAAATACAAGCTCATATTCAGAATATATTTTCTCGATTTCCAACATAAATCTTATAACCTCTCAAGGCTTAATTATCTCTTCAGTATGTGCTGATTACAGAAGCACTTTTCCTTGCAAAGCACAACTTCAGAACACGATGTGCCCCTGGAGTATGGGCAAGGAGTAAGCCACAAATGAAACCCTCAAAGTAAGGGCAAATGGCCTCTTCCATCATGAGATGGTAGACTTCCTGACATACTGAGTTGGGAAGAATTTTCAAACAACTTTAAATGTTTCTCAAGAAGAGCTTATGAAAACTGAGGCAGCAAACTCTAGGCAGGTCGAAAAATGTGATTCTTTCTCATTGTTTGCAGAGGTGGCAGTGAGCATAAGCTCCAGGATAAGAGAAAAAGCCTGACATGCTCAGAGCCTTGCACAAACCCCAGTCAGGTAAAGATGAATCAATTAACTTGTAATTTCAGTGCAGTTGCTTCAGGGGGCGAAAAGCTTTGTCAGATTGTGTAGGTTTAAATAAACTGCTAAGAATTAGAAGAAAGATGGAAGAGAACAATAGAAACCGGAATGCAGCAAGAACAAAGATTTATAGCTGCCATGGACTAGCCAAACATGCCAGGCTTCTTTAATGAACGTGGAGGAACAGGATTACAGTCTTATGACTCATCAGAGCAACTGGCAGGTTTGTAGAGTTCCTCTGAACTACTGCAATAATCCTGAATAAGAGAGAAAATAAACAGTTTGGAATATTTATGTAAGAAAGTCTACAAAGGCAAACGTCCTTCATTACTCACCAAATACAGAGAAGACTGGGAAGGGGGGGAGAAATTTAGCTCATACAGCATAAGAGAATAGCAGGTGTTAGAAAATTATGAATTGGAATAGTTCTAAAATAACCCCAAACATTACCTAATGTGATAATTTGAAGTGTGAGATCTGTGAAAAAGAAATGCAAACAGTCTTGTACCTAAACATTTACAAGTCAACAAGAAGCCTAAGAGTTGAAAAATCAGAATAGCTACTGCAAAAACCTTTTCTCTAAAGTGCTGCTGTACACATTCAAAAGAATGCCTGTGCAAAGAAAATTCAACTGAGAGGAAAAGGTACAGAAGAATAATTTCTGTAAAGCTGAAAACTGCTTTCCACTGTAAGTCATTTTCCATTTGCACACACTTTTCACCAAATTCATGTGATGGAAATTGAAAAGCAGGATTAGGAAAATGCCTCTTTATTAGTTACGGCTTCTTCCTCAAGAATAAAAGTATCATTCATTTGGAAAATGTTATTTTGCTTCCTTAGCCAACTACACGATCCTTCAGGGATTTTGTTTTTCTGATGGAAAGAAAATGGAATAATCTAAAATGACAATCTGTTCAGTAGTTCTGCAGACACAGAGCAGTAATCAAGCGCACCAGAAATCAACCTCTTTCAATTACTTTGTGTCCTACTACGACCTGCGTTGCAGTATTCAGAAAATGAGATGGATGCTTTTATGCAGTCCTGTTTTTTTCTTTATTGTTCTTTACTGTCATTCACGGAAGTCTATGGAACAAATAATATTGTGTTTGCATTGAGAATCAGTGGAATTGGAGCAAGACTGAAGTCACTTTCCAGCACTCAAATAATACAAAAAAATAGTAAATCCAAACATACAATATCTTCAGCAAAATTAATTTCCTGCTAAAACAGGAGGGTTCACTTGTCAGATTCAGGGCATTAACTTTAGAATCAATTTTTTTTCACTCTCATTTCCTTATGTTTTTTAACACCTCAAATATGTTCTTTTCATGGCCACGGAAAATCTGTGTATAGTTACTAACACAGGTTTGACTTACATAAAAACAGAATGCATAGAATATATGAATCACAGCAATTAGCTGTGCCCTGCATTTTGCTGTAGACACTGTTTCTCTGTGATTTTTTTAACATTATTTTTGAAGTGTCTTTTAACCTAAATGTGCATCTTCTGGTTTATTATGAAAAGTTTATTACAAAGAGAGTGTGATACCTGCTCATTAAGGCTCCATTCCTGTCCTTTCAAAGGACAATATTTAGAATTATTTTCTTGTTACAAGTCAGTGAATCCTCAAAACAATAGTTTTAACATCATATGTACTCTCCCCTTTCATCCTCCTCATCCCCAAGAACACTTATTTAAGCTTTGTCAAATAATGATTTTAGATATAGAGCTCATTTTCAAAGCATTCTGCAATAAAACCCATCGCTTTCTAGCTTTTTGCTTTTAAGAATAAATCACATCATCTGCAAAATAGATTCATTTATAAGTAGCAAAATAGCGTTTATCATTTGATTTTAGGGAAAAAAAAACATCAGCATATATTTTAGAGATCATAAATACCACTGTTGGGAAGGTTTGCAACAGCAAAAACACTGGTTGCAATATATGATAGATTTACAGATTTTTTTTTTTTTATTTTTAAATCCACTGAAGGGATAAAAGGAAGTATGTCAAGAGATCACAGTGAGAGACACAACCTCATTTTTGCATCTCTAAAACTGTGTCCAGGAGTCTAATGCCAAAAGGTCACCATGTAGTGGC